AGGCTCCAGCCCTGGCTGTCGCTTTCACAAAAACTGCCCCAAGCCCAATTGCCCCGTCCTGCCGGCGCGGACGGAGCCCCAGGGATGGCGGGGGGAAGCACCCGCCCGGGTGAAGCTGTTCCTCCACACACCCGTTTCAACAGGAAAAAAAAGTGAGGGGAAAACAAGTCACTCCTGAAACAAAATATATACAATTCCAAATGTATTTAAGTCACATGCATGGAATATCTGGACCAGAGTATAAAACATGTAAACCCTTAGTCAGAAGCAAGTGCTTTGCGTTTATTGCTGCAGTGCTGAAGTAAAGGGGGTTTTGCTTCTAGTAATTACCAACAAGTTGTTTATTTCATTGACATTTAAAGCCTTCACAATAGTTTAAAATATTTAAATTATTGCTGTTCTACATAGCCAGAAAGCGTGGATGCATGAAGCCAAACATGTGTTGTTAATGACATGGAAATGCATCTTCTCGGTATTACTTTTAGCAGTTTACTTAACTTTTTGCTACACAAGTGCAAATAAACATACAATTGCTGTTTTTCCAAAGTATTTGAAATTAGGTGCTAATTTATCAAGTATAAGGTGTCCTACTTGAAACGTATACATAGTTCAGACAAAGATTCAAAGTAACACAGATCCACGTATATTTGAACAACATAATAATCCCAACATTTTTTAAATGCAGCTGAATATTAACTGTTATCACAGAAGCAGACAAAATAGATCCTCCCTTACTACTCACTCATAAGACTGTTTCTTCTTTGGAAAGACAAAGCTCCTAAAATCTATTTAAAAGTGTAATGTAAGCCATAAATGTTGTGGACCATTTTTCTGTCTTAAATGTTATTTTAAAAAAAGTTATAGTGCGTTAATAGTCACAGAAAAAAAATATTATCTAGACTTGATTTAAACAGTGAATATATTTGAAAAGACTGGGCCAGCAACTGCTTATGGAGCAGATGTGTCCTACTAGAAAGCATATGAAACACAAGCTGATTTTCAAGCACAGAGGATCATGAAAGTCTTTCAAGTTCTTGAAATCCTGGACTAGCATCTCCAGTGTATTTAACATTTCAGTCCATTTTTCCAGTGACCTTCACAGCTGCAAATTCTGGATTTCCAGATAAGCTCTACCTATGAAGAATCAGTACCTAGCATGCTGTTAAACATATCCTGCACATCACAGATCTTCCATTCAAATGTATCATATCCTGTACACATATTCATTTCATTCACAGGGTCGGCAGAAACAGCAGCCAGCACAGCTTTGCAGGATGCTTCAAACTTTGGAGCCCTGAAAACAGGGGAGTTTGCTACTGCGTGATACAGACAATTCAGCAGAACACTGCTTCCCGCCACTTGTAAAGTGCTCTTTGGAATTAGATATAGTCTATGCTACAAGGTAATTGGTTGCATTCATAGCTGCAGAATTGTTATGAAATGCTTGGGCCTTTCAGTTGTTGCTTGCTTGATAGGGAATGATGGAGTTCAGGCCTAGTAAAGAAGAAACAAAATGTATCTTTGGCAGCTTATGCAGGTCAATAAAGCAATGGAGCAATCAATAGGATACTTAAAAAAAGCAGACTAGACTACAAACTTTGGCTGTTATTTTAAACTTTGGTGTTATTTTAAACTTTGGTGTTATTTTAAACTTTGGTGTTATTTTAGAACTGATGAAACTATTTTTAATATTAAATTCTAATTTGGAAATGGTTTTAGGCTTTGTGCTAAGTCAGCAAGCCATCAGGTACTATATTATTTGTTAAATTAATTCAATCAGGAAAAAGGCAAATGGTATTTCTACAAAGAAAGGTCCTCCCTCAGGTGTAATATCAAGGACAGCAACAAAAAAACTGACTCTGAGCCAATAGCAAATCTCTTAAAATTAGGGTTTTCATGCAACAGCTCTGTACACTAGAAGCATGCCAAACAGCACATCTGCAATTCTTTGGGGCAAGAGTGATCCCTTTGAAAGCAAAATTTGACCCCTCAATTTTATCATAGTGAACCTACAGCTATTTGTGTCCTGATGCCTGCGCTGTAATCATTCAAGTTTTAAACTTAGTAGCACAGACTTACAAGCACTGATTACTATAGCTTCTACGCTATAAAGTCTGCAATGCTATAAAATTAGTAGCATAATTCCCTGTGGTGAATTATTCCATTATTGCCTCATAAGCCACCTTCTGCAGCATCTGATCCAAGCCCTGATCCACACACCACACTATTGCTCCAGTGTACCAATTTCTCTGCTCCCCCCATCAGCTTCTCAAAGGCAACTCCTGGCCTTTTTTTAATCCAAGGGGGATGGAGGAATACATTCTGTAAGGGACTTCATATAGGGAAACAAAATAAAGATGTTATCCTTATGGGCCATTCACTCTTCCATTTGTAAAGGAGAGAGTTCTGCATACAACACATTACATGCCTAGAAAGAAATCAGTAGGGAAAAGAAAAGAGTTGCTGAGTGCACCACACTGCTGACTGGGGTGTTAAACCTCCAGCTGCTTGCCCATCTTGCTGAGGGCATCGCTGACAATGTCCAGCTCGTGACGTAGCTCATTCACCACGCTGGCAATGCTCTTCGTGTCTTTCAGGATCTGCACGCTTTGAGTATATGGATTGTACTTCACACCAAATGGGCGCTTGATGGTTTTTGCAAACTCTCTATTCAAGTAAAAAAAGAGAGGGAATCATAAACAAAACACAAATGCATCCTCTGTGTGCAGTCAGTGTCAATAACCGCTTTTCTAAACTACTTACTTTCTTTAAAATAGTTGTAATTGTTATATAGTTCATCTTTCCCACCCAGTACGTGGAAGACCAAGCAAATACTAATCTTGACTTTCCAACCTCATGAAAGGTAATTATAAAATTGTGATGAGAATAAAAAGGTTTGGTGCTGCTACTGAGAGACGCATGAAATCAAACCCGCTTCTATAAAACAGGAAAAAAAAAAAATCTGTACCTCATCTTCTCCTTTGCTTCTTCAAAACTTTCAGAAACAAAGTAAACCTCCTGGAAAGTTGTAATGAGGCATTCTTGCTTGCAGGTGACCTTCGGATCAAAAGGCTTGACTTTGGCACTGCCAGAGAGTGAGTGCTGGTAACATAATGTGTTATCATGTGTCAGAGGAACATCACCACCCAAGGAATCCACAAGGAAGATGACATGAGGTAGAGTGAATAAAAAAAAAAAAATTAAAAAATTAAGTGAGACCATATTTAGTGCATTGCTTCTTAAATTGTTTATCTGCAGATGAACAGCAGGTAAAGCTTAACAAACAAAGTAACTCTGAACAGTCATATTCTGCCAATCTGAGTCAAAAAAAGGGATTCCTCAGACAGGAGGCTCATGTGTAGACAACAGCAGTATTTTCAGAATCTTGTTAAACCAGCAGAGCTTTATTCTGAAAATAGTTACTTGGAATCTAATGTTAAGAAATACCAGTCATCTAATGCTTCCTGCAAAAGACATGCTCAGCATATATCCAAAAGCTGACCATCCAGTAATTATTGCCACAGTGAATTTGCTTAAAGTCTAGTAGGTATCTAAGAGTTTTCAAAAGAAATATTTTTAGAATTCATTAAAAAACCAAGGCAAATCAGGGACAATAATAATCAGGTACAAACAAAGAAAAGAGGCAAATAAGCAGTAGGTATTCTTACCTTGAGCTCACTAATCGAGGAAAGCAAGCCAGCCCCATAAACTCGTAGCTGTCCCTCTTGCTTGCACAAGCCAAACTCTACAGTGAAGAAGTAGCACTGAAACAAAGAAGGGAGTAAAATAATTCAACCTTCAGCAAAGATGCTGTGGTGAACTAGATGAGGGAATTTCTATTTGTAGGTAGCATGAAACAGTTGCAAATTGCAGACAGTCATCACTTGGTTATCCTTCTCAGGTATTTAAAGAGGAGGGAAGCCAGAAGAATAGAACAGTGAAGAAACACAGGACTGCATGTTTCTCATACGAAAGATTGACATTATAGATTACCCAGCTAGGCTAGAAGCTGTTTGTATTAGAAGAACCATTGAGATGTAAATCTGTTTTAAGACATACTGTCATGACTTGACAGCTTCAGCTTATAAGAAACACTGGATGGAGAAGATCTCTGTAAGCGGGTGAAAACATCAGCCCACTATAGTTTCTTTCTCATTTGCTCAGTGGCTTGTAACATTAAAGATGTTTAGTTTGCTGGATTTCAGGATTTCTGCAGGTATATGGGGAGGAACGCTATTTTCATAGGTGGCTTAATTCTGCTCCCACTGAAGGTAGTAGAAATTTTACCACTAGGTACACTAGGTGGGGAAACAAAATTAAAAAATAAAATAAAATAAAATCAGCAAACCAGTTCTTTCATAACTGGCATCAATTATTTTTTGTCTAACTTTAATTTTCATCTTAAAATATTTTTGCCAAAGCATCCAGAAACTGATGTCCAGGAAATAAGATTAATTTATATTATTTTAATTTCTTGGCTGAAAAGTATCTAATGCTAGTGCTCACCACATTCGATGAAAACACCGTATCATTTCAATTCATTCTACACATTAAATAAATAGATTACTTTTAAAATCATTGAATCATGTTCCCAGAAGTAAAAAGATTTTGTTTGGAAGAACAGACCATAGAATTTCAATCTGGAAGAAATTATCTACCACCAGAAGTTGCATCCTTACTTGGCAGCCAAGTGAAGAAAAACACCAATCATGTCAACCTTCAAATGTATTTTTTCCTGTCATAGAAAATTGTTACATGCTCTAAAAGCCAAGAACCAGTGATACACATAGGTTTAGCAGCTGGTGTGGCTAATGCTGATATGAACCTCCAAATTTACTCGATGGAGTGGGATCAGCCTAGTAAAGCACGAAGCTCTTTATGGGATCACCAGACATTGAAACACTCACTGTTGCCAGTTTTTGGACAGCCTCATCTGATGCCCCAAGTGACGCAAGGCCAATTTCCTGGGAGAACTGAGCAAAACTGGGTTCAGCCAAAAGAGGGACATGGCCTAGGAGCTCATGGCAGGTATCACTGGAAAAAGAAACAAAACAAGAAATCTCATTATCTGTCTTTTTGGTAGAGTGAAAAAAGCAGCACCACTGAACAGATGCAATGTCTTGCGTTATGCTATTTAATATCCAAAAGACAGAAAAGTGTCAATCATATTTCGCTGAAAGCAATTGAGCAGGTCATACCAGCTCTACATAAGTACATAAACTCAGATTTTCAAATGTCTAAAATTAAGATCTGAGCTCCACATTTATGAGGCAATTGAATATTAAATTAACACTGCACACAATGACATCAGTAAGAGCTCTCCAATAACATGCAGTACTTTTGAAAATCCCATACTTATGAAGGTGGCACTTGAGCATGCTAAAACTTCATTACATTCAGCATGAAGGCTGAGTCTTCAGCGCCTTAAAAAATAAGTTTTCTTGCTGATGTTCTCAAACAGCTTTTAAGTAGTTTGGCTCTGGACAGCGAGATTCAAAACTCACTCTCAAATTCTACCCCAAGATTAAATGACTCACGGCTCTGGTGTATAGAGAGGGTCCGAGCTGTGTCTAACATACTGAGTGCAGTGAAAAACTCTGAATGCTAATCCTGCCAAGAAGTCTCTGGGCGATAGATATCCAGCAACGGGGCGAATGGTGAAACCTGTGCGCTCTGAAAAGGAATAGAGAAATCGTACATTAGTTTAATGTAGAATTGCACAGTGTTCTCACCTTTCCTGCTACAACTCGGGTAAAAGCCACAGCACCATCTTGGCTCAAGAGCCTGTCGGAAAACTCGGCATGATTAGAAAAATTAGGCCTAAGCTTGAGAATGACCAACATTTAATAAAAATGTCCCTACCTCTGTATAGGTGGATTTCCTATGATTTCATGCCTTTTTATGTAAGAAAATTACCACGTTACCTTTCAGGAAGCGGGACACATCTTCCAGCTGGGGGATATTGTCTTCTCTGTACCCACAGTATTTGGTGAGCAAGGGTAAGTTTTTAAGGTACTCTCTACAGGCATGAGTTGGGTAAAGCTTGTTAAGCTCTCGGTAAACAGTCCCCCAAGTCTTGATCTCCTCCTCAGTGAATTCAATCTTGGGAACTGGGTCACCGCTACAGGAAGAGGAAAAAAGGACATTCCTTGCTAAATGACTAATAACAGGTGACTCATTTACCTACTATTATTATTTAACATCTGTATGGATGTGACACCTGGTCAGGGTCTATGCCCAGGAGAGCTTATAGTCAAAGGGCTTGCTCTCTTTTCAACCTAAATCAACTCACAGGAATCTTCGCATTGACCTCACTGAAGCCTGAAAGCTTTGGTTCTGTAAACAGTTTCTTAAGTGTTTAATGCCAAGAGTAACACTTAAAATACCCGCATCATCTTTACTGCTTCAGAAGCTGAGAAACATTCTTTTCCCTGCTGGGCTTCACTGTCTGCAATTATTTTCCATTACCTTTTTGATTTGTTTTAGAAAAAGAGAATTCCCTAAATTAACACCACATTGCATGGAAGCAGCTAAATATACACATTAGGTAAAAATCATACTTCTACGCAGAGGAGACAAGCGCCTGAACCTATTGATTGTATTTAGCCCTTAGGATCTTAATTAAAGTGGATTATAGCTAGGGTGGGACCTTAAGCCCATTGAGAGCAGTGGGAGCGTTACACTGAGCTTCCACTACCAGTCAGGGAACCAGCATGGCAGATGCTTTCCTAAGGGAATCTCTGTTAACAATACATTAACAGTAACCAGCTCTGTGCTGTGGTAACCAGTTGCATTAATACACAGTGCAATAGAGCTGTAGATACCCACCATTTCTGGGTCATTTCCAATTGAGGAACTTGGCATCTAAATTCAAGCAGGCAACAGCAACATGAAAAATCATGTTTAGCAAGAATTTACAGCAGTGGGCTATGAAACTCTTACTGCCTTAAGAGCTCCCGCCCACGAAGCAGCATCTCTAAAGACAGAAACTCTTAAAGTTTCTTTTCACAGAAAACTTCTTATCTACACATCACATGCACTCGTTTGAACCAGAAAAGGAAACTCAAGCATAAACATTTGCCCAGAGAGTTTACACTCAGTGGTCAATGGGCTATATGCTGGGTTGCGCCTCCCCTCTCTGTCCTTTGCAAAGGAGACCGTTCTGCCCTAGCCAAGTCAGTATGCACAGGCAGCTGTGCAACATGCATTGTTCACCCTCTTCCTTTGTTGCACCCATATCCAGAAAAGCAGGGAGGGACCACCAAGTCCAAATGCACCACGCTGCAGGAAGCCCACGCTGGAATCACTGCCCATCTGAAGATCAGCGGGTGCCATTAATGGCCGAGCAACCATGAGCTGATCCTCAGACTGATCAGAGGCCCATGGGGCTGGAAGATGACCTAGATCTACCTTTTAAGCTTGTCTTACATCTCCCTCCATTTTACCCCTCCAGCTCCGATTCCTGAGCCAAGCATATCTCAGCAAGATCTGAGCCCAGGGAAGCTGAGCTCCTGCCAGTCCACTCTGCTGTTATTTCTAGGCACGCAGAAGGGTTTTCCTGGAAGCAGTCGAGCTTACTGTTTGTAGTTCATAGCCAGGTCTGCAAAATACTTTCGCCTCTTGCGATAGACATTGTCTTTGAAACCCTGGCAGGGAGAAGGAAAAAAACAAAGTTAAATGAGTTTCCAAGCTGTAGTAAATAAATTAATTTAAAACAAGACACTTGAAATTTCTTTGGTTGGAAAATATAAGAGTATGCTGTGTAAGAATGAGAGGACAGGGCAGGAACCTCATAGCTGTAGTCTGAAATGTTTAATAACTATGAACTAAGCAAATACTCCAAGTCAAAGTAAGGATCAGAGGTTTTATGTATGCAAATACATATTTAGCTGACAAGGATTCATTTTAGTCACATCAGTATTTATACAAACTTTGTTACTTGCTTGATTATTCTAAATTACAGAACAAATTGCCCATTTGCACTGCCCAAGTATCAATTTGTTTGCTGCAATTATAGTAAGGAAGAAAGAAAGAAAGAGGAGGAACCAAGAACCAAGCCTGCCTCACAGGAGCTTTTTTTTTTTTAATTTGTATGCGACCACTCAGGGCCCAGACCCGGAGCCCTTGCAGGAGTAAGCCTTACAGAAAGGCACAGGAGCCAAATTCAGTGACGTCCTTGCCTGAACTAGAAAAAAGACATGAAACCTCCAAGAGAAGGTTCTCAGACCCACAGAGGCGCCATTGAGGGCAAGAAGAGGGAGGAGGAAAAGCTGCAATTTTTTTTAAAGTAAGCTCCACAAAGTACATTTTCACTAAGGATTGGGCATGGGGGGAAAAATACTTACTGGATGGTCAGCATCCAAATCAGACCCGTACATCAGCACTCGGTTTGCACACTTATCCAAATCTGAGATCTTCTTCGGAAACCAGGGAACATTCTCCATGTCTAGGGAACGCATGGAATCCACAAAGTTATTAATAACGCCAAGCATGCTGAGGGAGGAAACGCTACTTTCAAGTATGGCTATGGTGGTTACAAGTGAAATCTATAAATTAAAAGGGTCATGAATAAGACAAGGGAGTCCACTGCCTATCTGGCACCAGCCTACAGCTCACACTTCCTCCTCTGTCACTGCCACAGTCTGCCTACAGAGCACAGCCAGCTCCGAAGCATCCAGGGGAGGAAACAGTTAATATCGGTTAACTGTAACTGTTAGAGTAGCATCTAGAGGCTCCCACCGAGGCAAAGCTTCCCTGTCCATGCTGCTGTGTGAAGCTTCTAGGGTACAAAGCGTGCAAAAGAGCAGAGGAGTGATTTGCCCATGGTCCCTGAGCAGGAGCAGGTTCGAGTCCTCCTATCCTGCTTTACTGACCATGGGAAATAAACGTTGCTCTGTGGTTACATACCGCAGAAGCATCCAGCTTTGCTGAGGGGTTTGTGGGGGAAGAGGACAATAAGGAGGCCCCTGCAGTCTTAGAGAGATGCATCATTATAGCTTTACTACTAACTGTTTTCTTTCTTTCTTTTTTTTTTTTTTTTTTTGCCCAAGAGATTTAACACCCAAGCTCTTGGCAGAGCAATTAATACACTGTTTTTCTGCCCAGATGTTCTTTGGTTTTCTTAAAAAGGGCAGGGGGAGTGTTTAGATTGAAAGTCCCCTTACTTAGGGCTAAAGTCAGCTGGTTTTATCCAAGAGACACCAGATCTCACCTTCCCCTACATACCAGCCTGTACCAAGCACAGTGGCTGAGAAATACATGGGAAATCCTGCTGCCCTGAACTTTAGGCATCTCTTTAACTAGAAGCAAAGGTAAACGGGATGTGAAGTATCCTAAAGTTAGAAGGACCTCTTTCACACTAATATAAGTAACCGGTTTTGATGAAAAGCAGCAAAGAAAAATTTAAATGAAGAGCTACACGAGGAAATTACAAAATCCATCTCCCACTCTCACCAGTGTCCAAAGTGAACTGGTATATGTCAGTATTATACCTCTGTCAGAACGGTGTACGGGCCCTAGCCAAGCCCTGCATTCAGACTTTGCCTATGCGCCGGCCTGCACTGGCCGGCGTGGGTGCGGGGACTCCCATTGATGGCAGTTGTGCTGTGCCGAGAAGGGACGGGAGCACAGATATCAGACATGCAATTTGCACCATCCTGACACAGCCTGTATTCCCAGGTGACACCGGCCAATGCAGCCCTGCTCACGTCACCCAAACGACACTCATTCACAACTCAGAAGCATAAACCTGGTAGCTACTGATTGAAAACACTACACAAATGCAGATGTGGACACCATAAAAAGATTTCAAACCAACACATTAAGAAGTGCATTTTCATCAGAACTGCCTTTCATACTTACCATCTTCCTGGACATTGAAATGCTCTGTTGGGTTCATAGAGACAGAGTTGACATGGGATTTCAGGAGCTGGAAGATCTCATTCAGTTGTTCCCTGTTACTGTCACAGTCCACAAAGATCTCAAACTCAGAATTGCGTCTCTTGGATTTCCGTGACTCAATGTGTACCAGGTTTACATGCTTCTCCTGTTTTGTAAGAAGTACTGTTTTCAAACAGATTAACTAAAAACAATTGACTAAAACCTAAAATTTGGTTTTCAAATGAATATTTTATTGTCATGGAATATTCACCACCTTTGTGAAGCTATTTTATTTAATTGGATCTCTTGATAGCAGTTTGCTTATTGGAAGGGGTGGGGCGGGGGGGAATGATTTGGTTTTTAAAAGCCTCCTATTCAGGAGAAAATGAAAGAGAACCTCTGTTCTTACAATTTCATTTACATTCAGGAAGCACAGAAAGATACAGTCAGGAGGTTTAAATTCATAGACCTTTTTCTTTCATCCCTCCCATAGGAAACCGATTAGCAACTGAGTCTGGGGAAATTCACCAAAATGCCAATCAAGTCACCATATCATTATCTCACAAGCAAGCAAGGGATTTAAAAGCAGTAGTTTTCAGGGCATAAATGTCACTTTTCTTTCGTTTGAAAAATCATTTAATCATATGTCTTATATCAGCAACATAGAGAAAACCCCAGGCAAAGGCATGCAGGGCCGGAAGACAGAGTGCACTACGCATATTCCTTGCACAAGATCTGCCCAGCAATCGAAGGAGTTCATTCCATGAGTGCAGTTGTGCAATCGCAGTTCCTCTGTCACCCTCAGTCCAGCTAGGCAGGGTGACAAGGGCACCGGACTCAACCCAGCGTGGGTTGGCACCCCAAGTGTCTACCTGCCATCGGCAGGAGCTTCAGACCAACCTCTCATATGCATCAGAAATAATGAGTGCCGTTCCTCTTGTCATGAGGGGAAAAGACAAAACTTTCTCAGTCTTTAGTAGGTGCAGATGACACGTTTTCTGAAGATTTTTAGCCAGTCAGCATCTAATTTCTGAGGCATAAATTTGCTTTTGTGGGTATTTTTTGGTACAAAGTGGGAGTCAGGTTAGGAATCAAATCCTTAATCAATGGATGTAATTAATTGTAATGTGATCCAAAACTATCCTTACAATTTAAAAATACAGAGCTGCTGTAGCAATGTGATTATTAAATACCTGAAAGAGTTTTAATGCTTTTACAAGTCCTCCGACTTCATTGTTCAAGGAAAAAATTATGGCTGTTCTTCCTCTTTCAGATGCATGGTCTTCATTCTCTTTATTATCTTCAATCATCATGTAATTTGACTTATTTAACTAAATAAGTTAGAAAACACAGAAAAAAAATTTTTTTTAATGGCTAGTAGTGCAAAAAGTATGAAGTTTTACATTTCAGTTTGTCTTGGGGTACTATAGTGCTTTGACTGATCAACGACAAAAGGAAAGGTGCCAATTAAATCATTACACAATAACAGGCAAAAAGTTGGGCACACATAGAATATGAGAGCTGAGGATGAAATACTGAGATTTCTTTTTATCAGCTGTATGATTTTATAAACATCTTTAGCCATTCTCTAGGATGCAGAAAATATTTTCAAAGTATAGTTTATAATTAGCACTGGTGTCTTAGGGAGGGGGTGGGACAGTAAGATGTCCGCAGAATTAATAAGTTGAACAAAATACTTGTTAGCAACTAATAATCCAAAACCCACGGGACAAAGGTAGGAAAAGATGGATCAGGATTTAGTAGATCAGAACTGAAAAATCTTTGCCTTTCTCTTGCTACATAGCTGTAAAGCACTGCCTTTACAGAGAAAGGAGACAAAACCAAAGGAGTTAAAACATGCTGACCCGAATCTGTGGACTACAGAGACAGTCCTACTCTGATTAACCACAAACAAGCTATTCCATCTGTCAGGTCCGTTAATTCCCATGCCAAACCCTTATCATAATCACTCAAATCACACCCTAAAAATTTTCAGACATCCAACACTGTAGGACCACGTGGCTTTGTACATTAGTAGTGATCAGACTCCTGACTGCGTTGAAATCAGTGGATATCACAGACCATATTCTTAGCTACATGTAGCCAGGCCATAAATAGAGATGATATCAAAACAATTAAGAATGTGGAAAATGCAAAGTAAAGAAAAAGATACAAGGCTTAGAAGCAGAAGCTGTGTCTCATATGTCTTCAAACCTTGCAAAAAGAAACAAAAAAGGTGACGTTTCTGAAGGAACCAGTGAAAAAGAGGAGAAGAACGATGAAGGCAAATTATTGCTATTTGGAATTATTTTTTGATTTGACACAGTTTTTAAAGATATGAATATCTGTTAACATTTTCAGGAATGGAAAGAGCAAAAATAAAAATGCAACCAAAATGCAGCAGTTCCATTGATTCCCTTCTGTAGTCTCTCCAGCTTTAACTTCTTTAAAATGGATAATGCTGAACGGCTAAGTATTTCTATCTTTAATAGCTCAGTTTAAAAATAAAAACCAGATTTTACCTATCTTTTATCAAAACATTCCCATTTACCTTTTAAATTGAGAAGGTAATCTGCCTAACAAAATAATTCATTTTAAATTGAGTGGTTTACAACAAGGCAGATATTTGATGTTGCTCTGAGAAAGGTTTCAAGCAGGTTACTAGCTGTGAAAACTCTTTGGGGTACAGATACCATGGATAGCATGGGGTATCCCATGGAAGAGGTCTTGCTCCCAGCCCACTGATGCTAATGGCAATACCTGGATTTCTGACTGGGTCCCCACCTCTAATGAGTTGTCACTGTATAATGAGCCTGAACAACAGTATCAGCCCATCAGACTGTTTCTGATCCAGCAAGCCACTGATCTCCACCAACTTGAGTCCAGACATCAAATTCTTTGCTGAAAGTGAGTGCTAGGGCCCAATCCAGGTTCTGCTGAGCAGCTTGCAGGTTTCACAGCTCACACCAGCAAGTGTCAGATCAGGATCACAAGAGCCAGGAACAGGCACTGAGCAAGAGTACACCAAGCAGAAAAAAAAAAGCTAGTAACTCCACAATTACATATAGCTTACGTATAGTTTATTGGTTGTTTTCTCAAGTGCAGAGATGACTATTTGTGTGAGCCAAATCCTACTCAGATGGTACTGCTGTAGAAAAAGCTGGATGCAAAGAAGTCTCCATTACAAATAGAGTTACATGGTGGTCTCCAAAGGCAAAAACTGTTGGGCTGTTTAATATATACAGCTTATATGCAGTATGTTGGCCTGATTCCACATTCAGGATCATTGACTTAAGACAAGACCAGCTTATGAGAGTTGGCATAGTTGCATGGAATATTATAAGGTACACAGCTAGGACAAACTAACTGCATTGAAGGCTAATGTTCTTATTTTGTATTTTGCTAGTTCAACTAACATTGTGTTTAGGATCAGGTGACAACATTTATAAAGTAATATGTTTAAGAGACCAATGAAGAAAATACAACAAAGTGCAGTTTGTTCTCACATTAAGTTCTAAAAAAGACCTCTAACTTCAGAATTTGAAAAAGTTGCAGAAGAGAAATTCAAATGTCTGCAATGCCAAATGCATACCACTTACATCTTTAACCCTAAACCAACATTAATCTTTTGCTTTCAATTAAAAAAACGGATTGAAAATAGGTCTGCATTAATGCAGCAACCATTTTGGTCTGAGACACAAGACAAAATGGCAATGCAGCTGCACCTTCACTTTCACTTTATTCTGTATCAATAACTCAGCTCTAATCAAATCTGATACTTTTCCTTTGCATGATAACACATTTGAGCTTTTTGGAGGGTGAGGGGGGGGAATATTGCATTGATGCTTGTTATTAATGATGCAAATCATTAACTGATTTGCCATCAACCTGACTCAAGTCTTAATGAAAATACACAAACACAGAGATACTCTAAAACCCTCATTTAGATAGATATCTAGGTGTCTTCTGGTTAAAGTTCACTCCTTTTGGAGCCCATAGCAATTACCTTCCCTTTCTCCCCCTCCCAAAAGAATATCCTCTGTGAAACAGATATTTGAGGCTGCATATTTTGTGCTTTAATTCTTTATATTAATGGATAGCCAAGATTTAAAGTTATCCGAACATACTTGTCTAACAGAAGTTATATTTTAAAGCCTTAAGTTGAAGACCAAAAAAAAAAAAAAAATTTTTTTTAAATGTATTTGATACAGATTGCTATTAATTGTACTTGCTAAAAAGTCTCAACAGGCATTTTATATCCTCCTCCCTCTTTAGGTAGCTGCTTTCTCACCGTCCTTTTGACACACTTCTTAGTAGGGAAGGGTGAAGACCTGATCTATGAGTGACCACGACTAGATGTCACATTACAGGGAAATTTTTCAGCCACACCAAAGGTCCTTCCTTAGATTTAGTTCTAGACACCAAACCAAAAGCTGTGCTGAACAGTTTATTTGCCTTTCAAAGATCTGAAGGATACAGCAAAACAACCTTTTGTGAAACTTTACTCCGTTGCAGTCAGCATTCTTGTTTTCACGAGGAATTTTACTGACTTCATAAACTGCACAGTATCCATAACTGCAGCCAACACATAAGCACTGATTTTATCAGATCTTCTCTGATGTACTGAGCACATTCCCACTGCAACATGAAATAACCCAGGAGTGGATTTTTGTGCGCTATATCACATCCTCTGTCTCCTAAGCAACGACGCACCAGAAGTTACTTTCGGTCTACCTTAATTCCATCTCGCATTTCAATTTTACCACTTTTTTTTTTCCTCGTTCTGACCAGAAACAACAGCATAATCAGTCCCATCCCGATCCCAGCGGCACCGAGCGCTCCCTCGGATGCCAGAGCGGGAGTAGCATCTCAGGGCAATTCCCGCTCTCCAAGTAATCGGGGCCAGAAAGCTCCTTTTTTCCCCCCCCCGAAACCACCGCTCCGAGAACCG